ACTTTATATATATACAGTATATCTATACTTTATATATATACAGTATATCTATACTTTATATATATACAGTATATCTATACTTTATATATACAGTATATCTATACTTTATATATATACAGTATATCTATACTTTATATATACAGTATATCTATACTTTATATATATACAGTATATCTATAGTTTATGATGCCATATCTACAGTATAAAATAATTAGAAACAGGGTGGATTCAGTAGAGATGGTTTGAAACAAAAGCCTGATTTTATTTTGAAATAAAACTGATTTATGTTAAAGTCCAAAGAATCAAATGCACATTATCAGTTAAATCAGGTGGTGAGACGACCCAGAACTGTACCTGTACATGTACCTGTACCTGTGCATGTACCTGTACCTGTGCATGTACCTTTACCTGTGCATGTACCTGTACCTGTGCATGTACCTGTGCATGTACCTGTGCATGTACCTGTGCATGTACCTGTACCTGTACCTGTGCATGTACCTGTACCTATACCTGTGCATGTACCTGTACCTGTACCTGTGCATGTACCTGTACCTATACCTGTGCATGTACCTGTACCTGTACCTGTACCTGTACCTGTGCAGGTAGAGCATAAGCACAGCCGCCTCTGTTTTCCAGCACAACACATCCTGGCTGCTGAAGCTTCTTCCTGTTCAGGAACAGAAGCTGTTCAGACAGGATGAATCAACACAACACAACACATCTTACTGACCCACACATCACTTAGTTTCACTCATCTATCAGAAAACATTATTTCCCTCCAAATGTTTCCACTGATTGGATCTTAAAATCTGCTGTCACACTTATTTTGCCTTGTTTGTTTATGTGTTTTGAAATTAACCTTATTTTGATCAAAACATGAAGAAATTAAGATTTTTTATTAAAAGTTAAATCTTGTGACGTAAATCGAACTTTCCTGTTAAGTCTGTGTTGGGTTGAAGGGTGTGAAAGTTGCAGCGTAAATGGTGTATGCTACTGTGTTAGCATGTTGTTTGTTAGCCTTGTGTATGCTAAGATGTTAGCATGGGCTATGCTACAGGCTGTGTCCAAAACGACAGGCCGGGTCCTCCGGAGGACCC